CAATAATAAATAAATATTTTCTAAAGAGAATTTTTTGTTCTTTTTTGGGACAAGGTCTCCCTGTAGCCCCAGCTGGCCTGGAACTTGCTATGTAGACCAGCCTGACCTCTGTCTCTAGAGTGCTGGGATTAAAGGTGTGTACCACCACACCCGGCTATTTATTTTTATTTTATGTGTATGAGTGTCTTGCCTGTATGTATATATGTACACCAAATATATGCCTGGTGTCCCAGGAGTTCAGAGGAGAGCATCAGATCCCCTGGAACTGGAGTTAGAGATGGTTGTGAACTACCATGTGGGTGGGTGATGGGCATCAAACTCCTGAGTCATCTCTCCAGCCCCCTTTCAACTCTTTCCACCTGGTCCCTGTCATGGTTCTTAGTGACTTCGCCACTCTCGAGGCCAGCCCTCTCAAGGATGTTCAAAGCTTTCCCTACTCTCCTCAGATACCAGGTCTCCCCAGAGGACACATATTCTGCCCGGCCTTTTAAGGCCACTTGCTCAAATTCTCCCCAGAGCAGCTTTTCCCTCCCAAGTGCCTCACTAGCCCACACAACTGTTTGCCCTATCTTCTAGAGGGTGAGGGTAACGCTCTCAGGAAACCTAGTTTAGAGAACTGTGCAGATGGAGACAAGCTGTTGAAAACTGATGCTGACGAGTCAAGGCAGGAAAAGGGGAGATGCAGCACTGTATGACAGAGACAGCAGAGGATAACACTGGTCAGACTCCTTGGACTGAAGAATGAAGCCAGAGATGCATGAAGCTCGGGAGGGTGACACTTGAGGTAACCCTTGCTAGCCTAGAACAACAGGGAACTGCTCCTCAGCTCAGAAACACCATGACCCTGAGAGTGAATTTCTCACTAAAGGGTTATGTAGATACAAAACGGCCAAAATAAAAAGTCCCAAAATAAAAGGTGAAATTCCCTGCTCTTTAAGCAGATAGACCCTAACTGCTGAGGGCCTGAACCCAACTTGTGACTCCTTATACAACTGGAGCTAATGGTCCCTGGTGTCTCATGGCCATTCTCATGGTAGTGGTGGACAAGTGGTATTATAAAAGTTATTACCTCAAGATAATGAGCTGCCCTCTCGAACTCTATTTGAATATGATCCTATACAAATGGCCCAGGAGACAAGGCCAGCTAACGTCTCTTAACTGCTACAAAAGCACCTCATTTTCTCTTGGGGGCACCATTCCCTCTCTCTGTGAACTTGCCCTCCAAATTTCTGCCTACCATGTCTGTTCTTTATTAAAACTTTTATAAAGCCAGGCGTGGTGATGCATGCCTTTAGTCCCAGCACTTGGGAGGCAGAGGCAGGCAGATGTCTGTGAGTTCGAGGTCAGCCTGGTCTACATAGTGAGTTCCAAGCCAGCTGGGGCTATAGGGAGACCTTGCCCCTCCCCCCCCCAATAAAAACCCTTTTATAAATGATGTCTGATCTGGTAAGTACTTTTATCCCCATGCCTTGGGCTTGTGGTTCCCACAACAGGGTAGACCACTGAAAAAAAGGTTTGCTTCAGACAGAGGCAGAGAGAGAGGACACACCTATTTGAAGGAAGTCTGCAGTCCATATACTCACATAGTGTATATACAGCCTTTGGGAACCAGCCCATCCCACTCTCCAGTGCCAAAAGGACTGAGCACTGGGCTTTGTGTTCCCTTTGCCTGAAATGTTCTTCCCATCATTTTTGTAACAAATTTCTCTTTCTATTGCAACACCTGGCTTGTTTGTTTCCTTTGAAGAACCTTACATTTTCAAACACCTCTGACTTAAATACCCTTTTTTTTCCTTTTCTTTATTTTTCATTTATTTATTTAAGGTTTTGGAGACAGGGTCCTGCTGTGTGGCCCAGGCTGGCCTCAAACTTACAGTCTTCCCACCTCAGCCTCATGAGCGCTGTAATTAAAGGCATGAACCACCACAGCCAGCTGATACCCATTTTTAGGCTCCTGATCCATCTTGTGTTTACCCACACCGTAGTATCTTATTCTGTAACTCAATTTACTCATGTCTGTCCTCCACAAAAGTAATACTTCATATTTCTTGAGCAGTGTGCCAGACCATTCCTCAATCAAAAGTGAGGCTAATGTAGCTGAAGAGATGGCTCAGTAGTTAAGAACACTGCTGGGATTCGATTCCTAGCACCCACATGGCAGCTACCATCTATAACTCCAGTTCCAGGGAATCTGACACCCTCTTCTGGCCTCCATGAGCATTTCATACATAGGTGCACTTACATACATGCAGGCAGAACACTCATACACACAAATTTTATTTTAAATTTAAAAAGAGAGAGAGAGGCTGAGAGACTTTCTCCAAGTCTAGAGCTCTAGATGGGACCGGCTCTGTCTGGCTCCAAAGCCAGATGTTATCCAGACCAGGGCAGTCTCCCAGACACGCAGGCCCAGCCTCCTCAGTATCAGCCCTTCCCTTGTCTCTCCCAACACTGCACTCAACATTTTCCTCAGCTGCTGGAAAGCATATCAAACTGTACCAATCCAGGGCCAGGTGTGAGTTTCCCAAATGACTAATGAAGCGATGAAAGAGCAAATGAATGGGTGCTCCCTGAGGGATACTGGGAGACCAGGACTTCCCGAGGCTAGAAAGGCCCTCTGTGAATATACCCAAGGCTAGGATAGTACAACCCCATACCCAGTCGCTCAAG